TGGCCATCGACATGCAATTAGTCGGAAACGCGGCGACCGCTTACACGACACGTACTTATAATTAAGTAGCGGATTGCGTGCGCAAGAACAAGCCGAAACGGCAACAACGAGAACGAGATCGGGACTCGTTCGTATGTATTTGCATTTTAAGTGTTTCGGAAAGCGCGGCGGGGAGATCCCAATTTAGGGAGAAGGCGACGCTGGCGCCCTCTAATCAGGACGCTGCTGTCACTGCTCGTAATTACGTTTCCTTCTTGCTGTTTTTTGTTTTTCTTTACTTCTTTATTAAGCCCGGGGACTGCGTCGATGTCGTGTAATACTTAATGCCATCAAAACAATTTTCTGTATTTTTTTTGAAGATCTTTTAGTGATATTCGCAGTAAAACTCAAGTGACAGAAGGCAGGAGTTGTAGAGCGAACCCAAAGAGGCACTGGTTGAAAATAGAAAACAAAAGAAAATTTTCATGTAGAATGTGTCACTGGGCAAGGCAGTGTCCCAGGACCACTACTCTATATCCTTTATACAGTAGAATTTCCCAGAAACAATGAAACAACAACGGCTACTTTTGCAGATGACACAGTAATTATGGCTGTCAACAAAAAGCCGGAAACAGCTTCCTGGATATTACAAAGACATCTAAATGTAATAGAGGCATGGTTACGTGATTGGAAAATGAAAATTAATCCACCAAAATCGCCCAAGTAACCTTTACTTTAAATGGAGACCAGTGCCCTCCAATATACTTAAACAACACACTAATTCCGCAGTCTTCCTTCATTAAGTACTTAGGTATGCACTTGGATACTAAGCTTACCTGGAAAGAACATATAGTAAAGAAACGTAAGCAAATAGATTTAAAAATACAAGACTTATATTGATTAACAGGAAGAAGATCTAAACTATCGCTAAAGAACAAACTTCTCCTATACAAAACCATAATAATACCTATTTGGACATAATATGGAGCAGAACTCTGGGAATGCACTAGTAAATCAAATATAGCCTTAATACAAAGGAGCTAATCCAAAATTCTACGGATGATATGTCTCCAATCATACTCTACATGAAGACTTATAAATTGCGTACGTCAAAGAAGTCATCCAAACTCAATAGACTAAAAGACTTAATAGACTACATGATCACATTAATACCTTACTTCAGCCTCTACTTGAACCAGTACCTACAAGAAGACTTAAAAAACAATGGCCATCTGATTTGAAGGAATATTAAGGAGGATTTTTGAGTTATCAATGCAAAACTCAAATTCTTAAACTGCCGTAGTCAGTGACTAATCCTGTGCTGAATCATTTTTGTATTCTAGATAAGAATATAGATTATTCCCTGAGAATAATTCCATAACTAATTGAAAAATAGTAAAATAAATCTCCAATCTGGATTTCTTTCACCCCCCTTTTTGATAAAAATCACTGTTTTAGGTAATAAAACAACAAAAATCCCCGATTTTCGTGGAGCATTAATCTTGGACCATCTCCCCTCGCATTTTGCCATTAAACCAAACCCATTTTTACTCAACTGTCTGTCTCGGTATCAGGTACTGATAACGTTCCCGCTCAGCAAAACCGATCGACCATTTTGTATTTGAGATAGACCGGTGATTTTTTAGAAAGGCCGATATAAAATATCTGTGTTTTATTTCGAATCACTTCAGGGGTTTATCAGTTGATAGATGGCCCAATAAAAAGTCAATTGGTAGAAATTATTCAGGTTTTAGACTTTTATAGTATTGTTAATGTTCTTAAATTTTCTTTGTAATGACTATTTTTGAATATTGGATTTTGTGCAATCCCAAAATTTTATATAAAAATATAACTATTTTTCAAAAAATTAGCTAGCTGTTACTAATATAGACAGTACTATTTAAGTCACAAAAGCTGTATATAAAATGCCAAAATGAACATTACAATCAAACTCCCTTTCTCTGAAACAGCACAAAACTTCGAAATTGCTTTACTTTAAAGTCCATAAAATAAAACACATTACTTTTAACGTCCTCTTTCTTTATACTCGGTTAAAATCGAAGATCCTCCCTGTTATATAAACTAACTTGTTTCGAATACTTTATTGGGGATTTATCTTAGGGCCAATTTCTAAGCCATTTATTTTTATTTTATTATTATGGACCCATAAAAGAGCAAAAGAGCCAATAGTAATATAAAAACTTTCGAGTAGAGACTTTTACTTGATCTTCCTATAAAAAAGTTTGAATTTCCAAAAACGATTTTTTTTGAACTTAGGGTATAATAGAATCTTTCTTATAGTGTCTTCTTTTCCTCAGGCCAAATATTTGTTTGTTTATGTAGGAAAAACAAAATATTCGATAAAAGAATTAGATAAAAAATCACAAAAATTATATAAAGCAACACTAACTATAGAAGTAATAATTTTTTTTTATGATGACATTAATCTGGTTACTAGCAGACAACAAAGAGGACGATTCTAGCCTGCTAAGACCCTCATCATCCGCCAAAATTAACTATAAACAGATAGATTCGAAATATCTTCGACTTGGGAATTGATAAACTAGTTTCAAAGTTTGTTAAATAAGAGGGAGGACCCAACGGCACGAGACTTGAGGCCTAATTTGTGGAATTTCTTTGTTTGGGGACCGAAAGTTTTCGTGAGTTATTACTGCTATTTGAGCCCATAATAGCGGTAAAAAAGTGTTGAAATGGGTACTGTTAAGAAAATAGTAAGTAAAGCTTTTATAAATGCCATTCAGTCTGAAAAAATATGAAATTTGAAAAATTATAAACGGGATTAACCATTTTAGAAGAAGGATTTTTTTTATGAGAAATACAGTTTTCTCAAAATGTAAATAATAAAACAGTTTGTCCTCTTCTAAAGACAATTTGTAGACATACTGTATAGAATACGCTCTCGAAAGATGCGTACAATTTATCTTAGATATCTTAGAACTATCGAAAACAGGAAATAGTTATCTTATCCGATAGTCAAGCAGCACTAAAAGCGATCAACTCAGTAACCAGCAATTCAAAGTTGGTCAGAGAATGCCTGGAGAAGCTGAACAAATTAGGCAAAGAAAATAAAGTCCTCCTACTTGGGGTGCCCGCTCACCAAGAGATAGAAAGCAATGAAAAAGCAAACGATCTAGCTAGAAAAGGAGCGAACACTGAACCAGAACCGTTCTGTTTTCCAAGCGGAAACCAGCTTAAAGCTGAACTGAAGAACCTGGAGGATTCCATCCGTAACCTGGAATGGGAATCCTCCAACGGTCTAAGACACTCGAAAAAGTTCCTCAGAACTTACGACCGAAAAAAGTCAAAGACTTTCCTTGATTTAAGTAAGATCAATCTTCGGATTGTCACGGAGTTTCTAACAGGACACTGCCTCCTCAACGAACACCTCAGTAGATTGAAGCTGAGATGGAGAATGCAGATTCTGTGGGGAAAATGAAGAAACACTATCGCTGAGTGCACCGAGATGGCAACCGTTCGTGTTATAAACTTTGGTACAGCTGATGTCAAAGATGGAGAGCTGGCCTCTGTGAAGCCGTGTCAGGTACTGGCTTTTGTCAAAGCATTGAGACTGTATGATGAGTTCCCAACCCGCTATAACTCAAGAAAGGGGAACACAAAATAAATCGGTAAGGTCGCGGTGATTAAGCTACCTGCTAAACATTCTACATTATAGTGTATAGAGAAATAATAATAATGAAGCTTAAAATAACACAGCTTTTAATCCAAACTTCATGATCCAGCAAGCTTTATATGATTACAGAGAAACATGTTTTAAACGTGAAAGGCACTGCTTGTTTGATCAAATAGATATTTGGTCGTACCAGATGTGAAATGAGAGCGTCTATCATGTGTCCATTGAGATAATATAAAGACATCAACAAAATTACAGAAAAAACAACCTACATTTGAATTAAAATAATTGTCACATTCTTTCACTTGTCATTCTATACTCTACTAGGGTTATAAAATCTATATTTTATTTTCTTTATATTGTAATTAATTTTGACTCTCTCACTTGATGGAGGTTACAGACAGTGTTTATCAACGTAATATTTTCCAGGGTTTCCAACATACCGTTGATAACCCTACAAACATTCACCCCATAATTTCACTCCAGGCTACGTAATCAACAACATTTTAGGGTCATATTTCTCAAACAGATTACTACCCTTTTAGACAGTCTGTTCTTAAACGATTTTAAAATCAAAAACGGGGGGATCCAAATGAACACACAGACAGACAAGGAGAAAGCGTTTATATTAATAGATATCTCATGAGGTCCCCCTCTTGTTCGTAAAAAGTCGACTCCTCCGCATCAAGGAACAAAGGATCCAGATAATAAATGAACTTTTGCCGGGTTACAAATGGGTCGTAGGCAAAAAGCTGCGATCGCAATTTCAATTTTTGTTTCCTCCGATGTTTGACAAAGTGTCTCCGGATGTGTGTCCGTAAAAAGAGCTCCTTTTACATGAAGGCATTAGTTTTAGCTTTGGGCTGTGCCTTTTTGTCCTCCCTGGATTAATGGAAAAGCCGTCAGCGAGCGCCATCCGACAAAGGATTAATGTTTGACTATATCAAACTAAAGGAGAAATTAATTCATGAGTATGCCGAGTCGTCAGCTTTTCTGTATTTAATTAGGACAATTTGAAATCCTCTGGAGTTAACTTATTTTAATTAACTTAGAGTATAGCAGTCAAAAATAAATAGTTTGAAAGTGGTAGACAATGATCAATTCGGTTGAAATGGATAATAAATTAGTACCTCTGTATATAGAAAACTAATACACGTAGGATAGTATTTAAGTTCTCAATCGAAAAATCCTCAAGCAAACAAAATACGAATTGTCAAAATATTATGTCATCAAGCAAACATCATATGCAAAGCATCACTTAAATCTAATAATATGAAACCGGATTTGCTTTAGAATGCTTACTCTGAGATGTACCTCGACAAGATTATATTAACACGTTGAGGGGCGCTGACGCCTTACGGCGTCCAAATGAATTTGATAAACATTGGCACTACGCCGTACTGCGTGATTACTTTCTTAGCAGATTAGAGCAGTACGCCGTACAGCGGCGACGTTTTCATATAAGATACATATATCCCCACCCTACTGCCGCATTTAACAGAAACGTAAACAAACCAGTGTTCTTTTCCGCCGAAATACCCCCTCCGCATTTCAATAATGACGTGATCATGCCGACGCGGGAAATGTCGAGGCACAACGCCGATCTGCGTCCAACGCATCATCATTCGTAGTACGGCCGTGAAAAGTAGTGTCCGTTTTAGCAACAGTTGTTTATTTACCTGGCGTATTTCGCAAAGTAAGGTAAGTACATTGCTTTTTAGTATTGTTTTACGTTTTGTTACATTCTTAACTTGCCATCGAATATGTGCACTGTGATTTCCCCTATTTCTAAGTCATCAAATGTCGGGAATATTGCTTATTTATTTATGAAGCAGGAGAAAGCAGAATGTATTTTACCAATATTAGTTAGATTTTCCTTTCCTTTCCGTTTGCCTATATTCCCTACCTGCCATGAAACGTGTGTTAGATAATTTTGCTCTATTTCTAAGTTATTTATTTGTAAATAAATTAGGGGAACTCAGGGCAGATATTATTTAGATGTTGGTTGTGTCTCTTCAGCAGTTTTGCAGGCTGTTTATTCCATTTCAGATGGATCCATATCAACGAGAGCAAGAAAGACTTTCTCGGCTCTTCGACGAAGTTGTAACCAGCGAAGAGGAGGAAGAAGAGGATCCTTATGCTGACGTAGACGGGGAATATGGATCTGATAAAGACTATCAACCAGATGATGAGTCCTCTACATCATTAGAAGAGGACGAATCAAATAGCTCTGTACCAGATATAGGATCCCAGCCGTCTGACCCTGAGGTAGAAGAAGAGTGGGAAACTACCACGGCTCCTATACCAGATTTCCACTTTGATGAAAGTACAGTTGGTGTCAAAGTAAATATTGATCCCAACTCAACTCCGCTTGAAGTTGCACAACTTTTTATAACACCGAACATCCTCGATTACATTATTGGATGTACAAATAATTATGGTACGGTTTTAGCAGCTGGTTCCAAGACAAAAACAAGAAGGTCGAGAAATGCATATTTTCGTACCGTTACAGTGGATGAGATGAAACAATTTCTAGGTCTGTGCCTATTACAAGGGCAAATATCTACCTCAAACATGCGTCGCTATTTTTCCCATAAAGATATCCTCTATTTTCACCCAATCTTCAGTCATGTGATGTCTGGTAGGCGTTTTGAGCAGTTACTTAGGGTTGTGTGCTGTTCTCCTCTCGAATCCAAAGGTAAAGAGAAAGTGCAACATTTGATAGACATGGTCATTTCTCAATGTCAAGCAATTTATGGACCGAGTAAGGAACTTTCAATTGATGAAAGCCTATTGCATTTTCGAGGTAGACTTGGATTCAGGGTTTACATCAAAGGGAAGAAATCACGATACGGAATAAAGTTCTTTGAACTTACTACTTTTGATAGCTACCTCCTAAATATGGAAATGTAGGTGGTGCAATAAATAACACTGATTTTGAAAGTTCTAAAGTTGGGTCATTAGTAATCAGGCTGATGAAGCCCTACCTTTCAAAGGGGCATGAGTTATACATGGATAACTTCTATAATAGTATTGACCTTTCTAACAAACTTCTAGACTTGAAGACTCACACAAATGGTACCCTCCGAGCGAACAGGAAGGGAAATCCAAAACAACTAGTTCAAAAGAAGCTGAAAAAGGGGGATCATTTTTGGGTAAGAAAAAAGCAGGTATACGTTTCAAAGTGGAAAGACAAGCGTGATGTACTTGTCATAACAACTCGGAATCATCCACGTCTAATATCCGTGAAAAATCGATATGGGAAAGAAAAAACCAAGCCCGAGGAAGTTAGTTCATATAATAACTATATGTCAGGTATTGACCGCCTTGATCAGATGACCTCAACCTACTCATCACCGAGAAAGACCATTCGTTGGTATAAAAAGGTCATTTTCCATCTTCTCGATATTTGTGTATGGAATGCATATTACGTCTACCGCAAGTATTGTAACAGAAGTTGTAAATTTATAGAATTTAGAGATCAACTTATCAAGAGCCTTCTAAAAATTGACCCCAATATAGAAGCAAGACAACTAATGACCCGCCACAAGCACAATCCCAGGCGAAACGACACCACTTCGAATGAAGCTTATTTCGAAACCAGAAGCACGACAAATCATTGGCCTGAAAAGAATCCCGGCACTCCTGGACCAAATTCTAAGAAGAAATCTGTTTTCCTACGGTGTAAAATGTGCTCCAAAAAAGGGATTCGCAAGGAATCCAGCTACAGATGCAAAGGATGTCTTCAAAAACCGACGTTGTGCCCTGATTGTTTTGAGGAATGGCACCAAAATTAGATAAGTAATTTTCTTGTGTAAAGTTTTCAAAAAATAAATTACTGACAATCTGACACCCTTTGTTTAGAAATTTATAAATTTGTTGAACGCCGCACAGCGTCTGTGCTTTTTTGAACAACATATTATGTCTCAAATTAAACACAACGCCGATCGGCGTCGCTCAAAAAAATAAAAAATATGGTGGAAATATATTTGTTTTGGCCTTTTTATGTATTAAAACCTCTATTTTGCTGCCTAATCTACTATTTTCTGATAAAAAAAGGTAGTGTATGAATTTGCATTTTTTTTAAATGGCTAGCGCCCTTCAACGTGTTAAGATATCGCATCATTAGTAAGCTTAAGAAAGATACCGTTTATGGGGCAGATCTGCCATTTCTGATCAAATGTAACTCTTCTTATTTTTAATGTTTTCCTCTCTTCATTATTGTCTATTTACGAATATGGTTTCTATAGAAAGAAACCAAATATACAATTATTGGATTAAATAAAAAAGAGTAGGTGATAGTAGAACGTCTTAAAACGACATTTATACAGTGAAGCTACAATAAGGTTCATTTCTGAAAACTCGACAAGTTCAACTAGTATTCATAAAGATAGCAAAATAAGTTTTCGAAATTAGGTTGAAGCGAAGAAGAACGAAAGATAATTTAACTGAAAACGCGAGAAACTCTTTTGACACGATCGCGCCAAGTCGGGAAGGATTTATCGTTCCGAATATGAATGATATAAGCGTAGCGGCGAATAGTCGCCTATACCAACCTTTTCTTAACCCCCACGAACTGCTTGAATATGCGCCGCAGGTTCGAAACATTCACGAATGCAAATGCGGAACTCGGAGAATTATTAGACGAGTCGAAGAGCAAAAATCGCCTTTTCGAACCGACTAACTTGTCGTTTGATTCGATTTTCTTCGCTTTTGCCAACTTTACAGGAACGATTTCCTTTTTTTATTCCTTTTGGCGCCGAGCTCTTTTATTTGGAACTAGATAAAAGCCATTTTGTACGAGATAAGAGTAATTTTGAATTAGCCTGCATTTCGTTTATAAAGTTGAGCAGTATGTTAGATTTGGTAGACTGTATGGGAAAGGGAAAGTTAATCACCGCTTATAGATCCATTGTATCCCCAGTTATTGAGTTTCTTATGCGGGGATCTATTATGTCTTTTTATTAGCTAGTGATAATGTTCATATTAAACTGATACAAAGAAGTACTACTCGCGTTTATGAAATTAATCGGTCTCATTTGGAATTTAGTAATTATCATACGTCATATCCACAACTCACAGTTCACCTCAAAAATTTTACGAAATTTCCTCATGGAGAAAGCGTTGAAGTATATTTGCAACAAAATTGAAAACCGTTTAAAAAAATGCTGCAATTTTCAAAATATATAGATGTACAAGATAGTAATGATTAAAATCGATTATGTACAAAATGTAGCAATCCTGTAGAAAAGACTCTCTGTAATTTGAAAATATAAACCTCCGAATTTCATTATGAATCTTTATTGAATATAAGGATAACTTTTTAGTTATTAACGTAAATTGACATAACAAAAAATACATTAAACTTCAAATCAATATTGAGCTATGCTCAAATGACAAAAAAGGAAATAAAATTGACATACAATACAGCACAGAAATTCGTGCTGTTTCAGCTCGGTATAAGTGTTTTAGAGCTGCAATAATTTGGGAAAGATTTTAGAAAGTCCAGTTAGGCTAATTCGTGAACATTATCCTTATCTGTACCGCGAAACTTTAGCAGAAGTCGTCGCGCGCTTACCAATAAAACCATAACAGTCGGCTTCGCCTGTTAACCTACTGTGTGTATTCCATACGATCCCAGACCGAATATAGGTTAACGGCTGCTTCACGAACTTCGTGCCTTAATCCGTATGTTTTATTGTTGTTCTCGTCTTGTAAAATCCGAGAGAACGATAAGAAATATTGTCTCGGCGTGTATACTGCAGTATTAAGAGCTGTCCATTTTTTTGCCAGGACTGATTTTGTTGCTTTGGTATTCTTTGATAGCAGAAGCAATATAGGATGCAGAACTCAGATTGCATTAGATTTTTTTACAAGTCAATAAGAAAACAGTTATATTTTTATAAGAGGTTCATGAGCAGCTACATTAAGATCACTCATAAATTTTATTTTTGAATATGGTCAGATATTTGCATGTATAATACTAATATTCTTGTCAATTGTGTTGGCATTGTATTCGGTCGGCATATCTATAGCTTTGGGTGCTGATTTTCGCATGTATCAAGAGTACTGTCAGTAAACTGGCATAGACAGACACTCTTTCCTACATTCTTTGACGATTGTAGTAATTTCACGATTTACAGTAGTCCTTCGTCTTGATAAAAAGGTGATTATACAGGGTTGTTCACCACATACGACACGGAGTATTGTAGCTAAACGATTAGATTTTTACAAATTGTAAGTTTTGGGTTTTTTGAAGGTCTATTAGAGCTACAATTTAAAAATATTTTTACAATATACAGAGTGTCCCAAATAAGTAAAAAATATTATAGTTTTATTTTTTTAAATGGAACACCCTCTATATTATTCTATTTTTGGATTCTACGATTGAAATAAAGGTAAATTTGATTAAGGTTTATCACACTTAAACCTTACCGTTTTTGAAATATTTTCAATTTTATGAAATTGCAGTAAAAAATTTAAGGCTTTATTTCTCCAAGGGTATCAAAGTTTTTAATACTAAATATTTACTGAAGGTTATTTATTGATCAGATATTGTGTTGCAATAATAAAAATGTTACTACCTTATACAGAGTGTCCAAAAATTTATATTAAATAATTACTAGCTTTAAACCGCAATAACTTGTTTAATTTAAATGGAACGCCCTATATATTTTACGTGAATCAAATGCACAACGTAATTGTCTATCAAATTATATTATATCATTTTTTACGCATCTCTTCAAGTTTTCGTAGAAAATGCATTTTCTTACAATTTAGACCTCATTTATCACTATACCCATGAAATATTGACATTTCCGATTTTTTTGAAGCACCATAATATGTACAAAACGTACAGGTGGTAAATATTGCAAGCCTATTGGCATACAAAAAAACTAATTAAATCTTTGTAAAAGAGTATACCAATTAAGTATCCACCATTATTTCCTACCAAAAACACCAAAAATTAGTTAATTACATACCTTTAAATTGTTTTAATTAATAAATTATTCTAAATAAATGTGGATTTGGCTCAGAAATCAATATAATAATAAGTTATGAAAATGAATGTCTTTGTTTTTATAAATAAGCATTCGTTAATAAATGAAATAAAATTTATAAGATGTTACTTTTTACCACACTGTCTAATACACACACAAAATTCAGTTTTTTAGGATTTGGAGCAATTATTACTACAACGTAAACAGTCAATTAATGTAGTTTGAATACTGGGATCATATTAATTGGTCCTCTTTAACAAAACATATTTAAACAGTTGTTTTTTATTTTTTAATTAAATAAGCGAACTATATCGACAATATTAGTATATGTACCCTTTGAAAATTTATTACATCTTTAAAAATAAGCTAACATGTCAATATTCCATGGGTATAGTGATAAATGAGGTCTAAATTATAAGAAAATGCATTTTCTATGAAAACTTGAAGAGATGAGTAAAAAATGAAACAATACAATTTGATAGACAATTACATTGTGCATCTGATTCACGTAAAATATATAGGATGTTCCATTTAAATTAAACAAGTTATTGCTGTTTAAAGCTAGTAATTATTTAATATAAATTTTTGGACACTCTGTATAAGGTAATAGGTTTTTTTATTGCAACACAATATCTGATCAATAAATAACCTTCAGTAAATATTTAGTATTAAAAACTTTGATACCCTTGGAGAAATAAAGCCTTAAATTTTTTACTGCAATTTCATAAAATTGAAAATATTTCAAAAACGGTAAGGTTTAAGTGTAATAAACCTTAATCAAATTTACCTTTATTTCAATCGTAGAATCCAAAAATAGAATAATATACAGGGTGTTATATTTAAAAAAATACAACTATAATATTTTTTACTTATTTGGGACACTCTGTATCTTGTAAAATTATTTTTAAATTG